AGAAGAAACATGGCACTTTGGCGGAAGAATTGATTGGCCTGTTTCTCTCCTGCAATTGTTTTCCATCCCTTCTTCTCCACCCTTTCAAACAAGGCAGGAGCCACTCTGGCCGAGACAGCTGGAGCTCACCCACATGCCCCACCATCTCTTCCTTCTTGCAAATGGATGGACTACATTTCCTAGAATCCTTTGCAGTGAGCTAGGGCCATGTGACTAGCTTCCAGTCAATGGAATGCTTTGCTGTGAAATCCAGCCATGTTTGATCCTCCTGTCTTCTCACCTCTGGCTGAATGGGAACTTGGAGGACCTGGCAGAAGGTCCATAGGATAGAAAGAACCTGAGGAGGCCCTGAATGACCCACTGGAGTAGAGCCACCACCGACCCACATTGGACTATGACACAAAAAGGAAACTTGCATTGTGCTAAGCCCCTGGGATGTGGGGGCTCTTTGTCCCAGGAATTTGCCCACTGCGCTGCAGTCACATTTTCTCAGCAGAAAGGTTATCACAGCAGATATTTCCCACCAGACAGGAGTGACTCTGCACACTTAGGAAGCAGGGGAGATTCTGCGACAAGAATGAGAAGTTAGGAGCCATGCAATGACGTCAGGAAGACAGTCTTCTTTGTAATACTCCTTGAGGACTGAAGTGAAGGATCCTATAGATCAATTTTGGAATCTGAGAGCAAAGATCAGGTGACGTGACATGGATACCAGAGAGAGCAGATAACCACAGGGACATGTCCAGCTCAGAGGGGTCAGTGGGGTCAGTAGGAGGCCATAACCCCAGGAGGCAACTGCTAAGAAAAGGGGAGGGCACCTCTAAGGTGACTAGTCTGTAAAAGTCCAATTGGAGGCCTCAGATATGAAAAGTTCAATGATAGACAAAGAGAAAACCTGGTGTCCTGGTTCCCTAGTGCCGCTCTGACAAGAATGTACCACAAATGGGATGGCTTGAACAAACAGGTTTATTCTCTCACAGTTTGGAGGCTTTAAGTCCAAGTTCAAAGAGCCAGCCTCTAGGGGCTGCGTAAAAGCCCCTCAACCTTGAGCTTCAGCTCTGCCTCCTGCTCCCAGCCCACTGGACCTGGAGGCTTTTCTTCACTCAGCTGCTGGCTGCTGAGGCTGAGAAGCCCAAGGTTGACAAGTAATAGGGCACAGTCCTGATGTGACCAAACCACACGGCAGTCCATTAATTCAAGTCCATTGAAAGTCCCAAGGATGGCAGAGCATGGCAGGGTGCTGAACAATGACATGGCTACATGCAGGTTTTAAGTGTGCCATAAGCTAGAGACCATTCCCCAAGGCTTCTGCTTATATACAGGAAGCAGACCACATCCCTAAGACAGCTACTCAGCTGCTCCCAGTAGATTCCACCATGGAGTTGATTACCAGTCTCATCATGGGGAATATTACATCCAGGTGTCCAGCCACTCAACCAGGCCCAGCCAAACTGACACACAAGCTTAACCACCACACCTTGTATGTGTTGCTTCCTGACATTGTGTTCTGTGGATGTCATACATACTGCACTTGACTGTATTAAATAAATAAACAAGACGTTCCCTAATTCCAAACCAAACCCCGTCTTGTTTTCAGTATCAAAAGGCTGTGGTTGTCAGGAATTCCTCTCTGGAGTCCCTTTGTTGTCTAGGACATGAAGCCATGGTGTCCTTTGCACAGGACAGCAGTTGCAGCCCTCAGTGGCCTTGGGAAAAGGGCCATGTCCTCTCTTCCTGCCTCTAAAATGATGCATCATTTTAAGACTACTGGATGGCAAAACTGACCTATTGCTTCGTTAGGGTTCCATACACCTCATTTGCATATTTCCACACCCACAAAAGTGCCATGCACCTTATTTGCACCACGAGCAAGCTGTCAACTCCCCTTGGTGGGCCAAAATTACCTTATTTGCATGTTGTTGTTGTTGTTATGTGCCATGGAGTCGGACCCAACTCCTAGTGACCCCTGCTTGGGTTTCGGAGGCAGTATTACTACGGAAGTAGATTGCCCAGCCTTCCTTCCAGTGAGTGGCTGGTGGCTTTGAACCACCAGCCTTCTGATTAGCAGTCAAGTGCCTTAGGCACTATGCCACCAGAGCTCCCCCTTATTTGCATAGCCCCATCCAATCATTTAGTGGGAGTTACAAGACCACACCATGAAAGGCCATATAAAAGCCATCCATTGTACCCTTCCATGGTGTCTGACTCCCACCTGGGACCCTAAATGGATGAACCCTGCAGGGGAGTTAGGGAAATCAGGAGTAAGCAAGCGAATATTTATCACCAGAAGGTTTCTTTCTCAGACAGAGTGTGGACAGACACGTTAGAGTGCTGTGGTCATTCACAAGGAAACCTCTATATAACTGTAGAGTGCTCAGAATGCTGGCCACTCGAGATTAAACCAGGGTTTGTGGGGCAGGAAGTTTATATAGCATTGAGAGTCTATTGAAATAAATAAAACTACAAATGCACCATTAGGTACACACTGAATATTCATTTAGTCTGACAAAATAAATTATTCATTATTGTAAGGCAACAGATACAAGAAACTTCACAAATTATCAACCCTATCAGGATATTTGGTAGCATAGCGCCTAAGGCACTTGACTGCTAACCAGGAGGCTGGCGGTTCAAACCCACCAGCCACTCCTTGGAAGGAAGGTTGGGCAATCCTACTTCAGTAGTGATAACTGCCTCGGAAACCCAAGGAGGGGTCGCTAGGAGTCGGGGCCGACTCGATGGCAAATAACAACAACAACAACAAATCAGGATATGTTAATTAATTAACTACTCAACAAGCCTTTAGAATATTTTTTTCTATATTTCTGTCTACATGCTATTGATCACATCTTCATATGAATCAATTCTGCAATATTTCCTCTGGGGAGAATAGGAGGGAATTTGGCATCACCTTGCTGACTGGATTTACGTTAAGATACTAATAGCCGAGATACATACAACACACAACTTCACACACAGACATTTTAGTTTGCAGCATGCTGCGGGATCAGGTCTACAAAAACAGGAAGTGTGGTGAGCAGAGTTTTGCACGTTACCCATCCAAGATAAAAAAGGTCTAGTGTGTTTTATGACCACATGTCCTGCGTGCTCCAGCATGTCCTAATAGTGGATGAACTTCTGGGTTGGTTTGCCATCAGCGAATGCTGCATGACCCCTTATGATTTTCACAGCCATGAATGTGAAGAACTCCCATAGACAAGCTTCTGGCTCCACATATATTCAGTCTTGTTTCTTCCCCACTGCCCACATGCTTCTGAAGATAAGCACCACAGGACAGGTTCATGTCCTGATACAACATCCAGCCCTGCACTTGTCCCAGGTGCCAGGTGAGTGGGCAGTGGGAACATTCCTGGAAGCCATTCCTATTGTAAGATGGCTAGCAAGAACCTAGCTGTCCATGGAAGTGACTGTGAACTTCATTAATAAATGAACTATTAATGAACTACCACTAAGCCCAGTCACAGATATCCCAACTTGGCTCCCCCTTGGCTAAGTCCCCAAACATCTGTGGCCACACCAGTTTCACCAGACCAGCAGTGGAGTGAGATGAAGAAAAGTTGGAGTAGACAGAGACAGAGGTCATGACTGATGCATCATTTTGTGAACTTTATTGGAACACACCTGCGTGGACAATTTCTGGGACTCTTCTCCTTCTGTGTGCAGGTGAGGGCACCATGGTGACCACTTACATCTAAGAAGAAAAGTGTCCTTTGTCCCCCCAGCTCTCTGCATCAGCAATCGCTTGGTCACTGCCCAGGGTGGAGAAGGTCATGGGCATGGGCTTTATTGTCCAATGGTACCAGTGGAATCCTAGCCCTTCTGTTCACTACTGTGTGCTCTGGAGAAAGCATTTGACCTTGATCTCACTGAGCCCCGGTGCCTTAAGTCATGACACAGATATCAGTGATGTTTACTGGCCAGGTGAGCACTTATGAAATGCTTGTGGCATGCAAGGCCAGTACTGGTCCCGGGTGCTCCATGAGATGCCTGGAATGGCTGCCAAAGAGACCCCTGCTCCCCTGCCTCCCTGACACATGCAGACTGGGGCCTGAGGTCTGGATGGGAGAAAACAGGTGGCCCAGGAAACTGGGGGAGCCCAGAGCTCACCTTCTCATTCTAGGGACCTGCACAGCCCCCAGCTCAGGCCCATGAACACCAGGCAGAGAGCCCAAGACAGTGGGTCCCAGGAGACACCAGTACCTGATGCCCAAGAATCCGTATTTCTGACCAGAGCACAAATTCACAGGCTGGCGAATTGATGCAATGGTGGGATCTTCCATAAACTACTAATGGGCATTTCTCTTCCTTTCTGAGGATCTGGTCTTTGTCTCCATTGGCTTGAATCCACCATCTCCCTGGAGGAGACTGAATTGTCGCAGAAGAATGCAAGGAGACAGAACTAGGCATTTTCAGCTTCTGACATGCTCAGTAGGACAATGCAGCAAGATGGCAGCCTTGCAGGCCAGGCTCTGTCCTGAGACAGGATTTCCCCACTCGCCGTCAGCACGAGTTTCCTGTGGTCGCTGTAACAGAAATCAACAAGCTGTAACACAATAGAGCTGAAAGCTGGCATCTGCTCTGGAAACAGAAGATGGAGTGCCCGTGGGGTGCAAATGGTTAATGTGCTCAGCTGTGACCAAAAAGGTGAAGTTTCAAGTCCAGACACAGTCACCTTGGAGGAAAGTGATCTTCTGATCACTTCTGATGAATCAGCCGTTGAAAACCGTGTGGAGCACAGGTCTGTTCCAACACCCGTGGGGGAGCCAGGAGTCAGAGTTGACCTGACAGCAACTGGTCCAGGTGACCAGAGATCCACTCCACAGAAGACAACTGCATTTCATCTCCACGGCTGAGCCATCCATGGTGAGGTCCAGGATACATGCCTTGTCAGGGGACTGGTGGGCATGGCAGAGAAGTGATCCCAACCTGGAGGGGTGCAACATCTTCAAGATGCCCAAGAGCATGTGGGCAGCCTGACCTCATGCTAATCCCATGACTGGGTTCGTGTGGACGGGAACTGTGGGATCCTGGCTCTCAGGCCCCACCTCGTTGGTACCTGTGGAGGGTGTCTCTTTGCCCACTATGATGGGCTCCTCCTGCAGTGCCCTGCTGAGCACAGCCCCCAGGGGCTCCTGAAGTCTCTGTCTCCTCCATCTGCCCACCAGGAAGTAGATGATGGGGTTGGCACTGCAGCCCAGGGACGAGGAGAGGCATGATATGCTGACATACAGGATCTTCAGCTGCTGAGGCAGGTCTACCCAGTAGAGGATGGACGAATAGACGCCCAGGGGCAGGGAGCAAACCAGGAACATGAGGACAGAGGCCAGGATGACCAAGAGCAACCTCGGGGATTGCCGGCACCACTGCCGGGAACTCCTCTGGACCTTAATGAAGAGGACCATGCTGGACAATATCATGGGTGTGAGTGTCCCAAAAATGAAGATGTTCACGATGACGTCCACAGTGAAGCATTGCTGTTTGTCATAACCCCTAAAGTGGGTGCAGAAGTAAGAGGCCACTATGCTCATCAGGAGGGACAGAGTCCAGAGCAGGGTGCACACCACAGTGGACAGGCGTTGCGGCCTGTGGACCTTGTACCATATGGGGAAGAGGACAGAGAGGCAGCGTTGGGTGCTGATGGCTGTCAGCAGGCTCAGGTCCACTGTGTATGCAAAGTACTTCACCCTCCTCACCACCTCACAGACCTTGGTGTTCCTGGCCAGGAAGATGATATCTAGACTTATCACAGAGGCCATGCAGAGGAGGAAGAGGAGGTCAGCCACTGCCAGGTTGAGGACGTAGACGCAGAAGGGGCTCCTCTTCATGCGGATCATGCAGATGACCAGGCTGTTGCCGACCAACCCACACACACAGGTGAGCACGGCCAGGACGCTGACCACGAAACAGGTTGTGTTGAATGCATTCATCCTGGTGCTGTTAGGGGTCGGCTCCGGGGTCTCACTGCCAATTAGAGTCTGCTTCATCCCTACAGAAGAAGGGAGACCAACGTGAATGTCTGTGTTGCATGGACCAGGATGTTTCTGGAGTCCCCCCGATTTATCTACTTTGTGGCTCTCAACCCAGGTCCTTTTAGCAACAGACCATGATCAGGAGGCCTCACACCTTCCCCACTGCTCTGGCTCTGGCCCGCTTTCATCTGCCACCAGGCCTACCATGACGGATCTGGGGTTGGTGCTGATATCTTTATCAAGTTAGAAGTTATCTTCTATTGTGAGTTTTTGATATTTTAAAATCATGAAGTAGTGTTGGCTTTTATCAACTTTTTCATGTTGATTGATACTAACTTTTCTCCTGTAACCTTCAAATCCTGTGAATCAATGTTTTGTTTTTTCATTGGACTTCAGGTACAAAGAGTAGAATTAATGATGTCCCTCAGCTTACAACACACCCTGGTTACTAGTCTATTTGAAGCCTCTCATTGAGGTTGTCCTCTTCATCTCCATCCCAACTTTCTGTCCCCTCCTTCCCTCCTTCCACGACATCTGTGGTGACGTGTCATTGGACATGTGTTCTCTTTGGTAATTGCTGTTGAGTCAGCCCCACTTCATGGCAACCTTATGGACAAGATCATTTTTGGTAAAGATGAGGGTCAGGGAAAACAAGGACAACACTCAATGAGATGGATGGACCTAATAGTGGCAACAACGGACTAGAGCAGACCAATGGCCATGAAGATGCAGGCCTGGGCAGGTTTTGTTCTGTTGGACATGTGGTCACCATGACTGTCCATAAGTGTTTTTAATTTAGGTTCAGTGCTGTTGTGATTTAGAATCTATTAATTTTTGTCACTCAATAAACATGGTTTTAGGACATATTCAAGCTGCTGTATGCACTGTGCATAGGCAGTGTTTTCCTGATCTGTGCCTCCAGGGTCCGCACTTCCCCAAGGATACCCAAGTACTTCAACGTCCCATTGCCGTAACACAGTGTGTTGAACATGCTCATGACGTCTGTGCTGGGCCTGACCCAGGTTCTTTCTGGGATATGTGCCCAGGGTTGGCGACCTGGGTCATAGCACATGTGCATGTAACTTTGATCATGTTGCCTGATTGCTTTTCTGGATATCTGCTTCAGTTCTCACTGCCCCCAGCAGGACCAGGGTTCCCTTTTCCCCATTCCCTGCCAACGTGTGGTATAATGCACTTTCCTCGTTTTTGCTAATCTATGGTCACGATACTTGGATCCACAATCATAACCCATGGAAGCAGCAGGCAAGAAATCTGACCTTGGTAGTATTACACTGGCCAAATCGGCTACAAAAGACCTCTTTAAAGTGCTGAAGAGCAACGATGGCACTTTGAAGACTCAGGGGTACCTAACTCAAGCCATAGTATTTTCAATCACCTCATATGCATGTGAGAGCTGGACAATGAATAAGGAAGACAGAAGAAGAGTCGATGCCTTTGAATTGTGGAGTTGGTGTAGAATGCTGAAAGTCCCATGGACTGCCAGAAGAACCAACAAATCTGTCCTGGAGAAAGTGCAGCCAGAATGCTCCTTGGAAGTGAGAATGGCCAAACTTCGTCTCACCTACTTTGGTCATATTGTCAGAAGGAACCATTCTCTGGAGAAGCGTATCATGCTTGGTAAAGTGAAGGGTCAATGAAAAAGGGGAAGGCCCTCAACAAGATGGACTGGCACAGTGGCTGCAACGATGGGCTCAGGTAGAGCAGGGATTGTGAGGCTGGCCCAGGACCAGGCAGTGTTTGGTTCTTTTGTACATGGGGCCGGTATGAGTCGGAGCTGACTCGATACTTAACAACAGCAACAACCCTCTCATCCCACTCCCGCACACCTAGGCTCTTCTAGCCTTGTCTACTTCAGGGTAGCAGTGGCAGAAATGAGGAGAAGGAGAATGGCCGTGGAATCCGGACTGGCCAGGGACCCACTGCCAACCGTTCTCGTCGGGGCACAACAGACGGATCCTAATGGGGGGGAGAAGAAGGTGCGGCGGAATTCAGAGTCTTAATAAGTCACGACTCACAGTTCCATTTGACCAGACAACGCCCCAGGACTGGTGCCCTGAGACATCCAGACACTGTGAACAGCAACTACCCCTGAAGGTACCTTGGCGCTAAAGTGCAGATGGGCTCATAAAATAAGGTACCAGCGAGCACTGCAGCCCTGTAACGACTCACCCACGGGAGACCGATTGGCTGACGATGACTCTAAAGCAAAAATGAAAGGGGCGGTGGCAGGGAGACCAGATGGCTGCAAGTGAACCGTTCAAAGGAACCTGGTGTGAAGGGTAACGCGTGTGGGAAATGTGATCAAAATCCCTAGTCAATTTGGGTAAAAATGTTCAATTGGAACAATTTCTATGTCAATTTTCACTGAAAACCCAAAACATTATTTAAAAAAAAAAAAAAAAAAAGTGCTGGCCAAGGAGTGTAAGACAAGCAGGGCAGAGGTCCTGCTCGGCCGGGTCACCCACGTTGGGGAATTTGGTAGGTGAGGAGGATCCGGCTGGTGCACGCAGGACAGTGGCCTGTGGGGGCAGGAGTGAGCCCAGCACCTGTGGCGCCGGAGCGGGCGGGGCGGAGGCCAGCACCCAGCGCCGGGTCTGGCCGGGGGAGGAGAAATCTCTGGGCATCGGGGCAGCAGGGAGCTGGAAACTGGGCAGCGTTTCAAACCCCTAAGATGGGAAACCTGCCAAGGCCCGGGTCTGGAACAGCGTGACCCGGGGGGCACGACGGGGCAGCTCCAGCCTGGGCTTGAGGCGTCTGGAGCCTTTGGGGCCACCTGCCTCCGTGGCTCACCACAGACCGCTCCCCTGCCCTTTCCCTCCTCCTCGCAGGCCGGACTCTGCCCCACCTGGGCCTTCCCCGGCTGTCTCTGTCCTGGCTGCCTTCCCACTGGCCCAGCGTGCAGCTGGCGGCTTCTCCCGCTCCGGCTCTCAGCTGAAACCTCAGCAGGAAGACCTTCCAGCCCCAGCCCTTCCCTCTGGGTGGCGAAAATGGCTGACCCTGAGTCCAGCCGTGACACCACAGAAGAAAGGCCTGGTGACTGGCTTCGGTCAGATTTAAAAAAAAAGAAAAGAAACAGTTGCTGTGCGTTGATTCTCACGTGACCCCATGAGTCCCAATGCAGAGCTGTGCTCCACAGGGTTTCCAAGGCTGGGACCTTTTAGATGCAGGTCCTCGGGCCTTTCTTCAAGGCCCCCTGGGTCGATTAGAACCGCCAACCTTTCAGACAGCAGTCAAGCACTTCACTGGCTGGCCGTCCAGGTTAACCAACCAGAAGCCTAGGGAGCACACATCTACTCTGAACCTCGTGGGGTCGCCGTGGGTCAGCGCCAGCTCCCCGGCCACTGGGTTACCTCCTCCATCATGGCGGCTGCTGACCAGAAGATTGGCGGTTCAAATCCACCAGCTGCTCTGGGGGAGAGAGTTGCAGCAGTCTGCTTCCGTAAAGGATGACAGCCTTGCGAACAGTACGGGGCAGTTCCACACGGTGCTGCAGGGTCACTGAGTCGGGATCAACAATGGCTTTTTATTATGGGGGCGGGGGTGGTTCAGGGGTAGGATCTCACCTTCCACGCAGGAGGCCCAGGTTCGAGTCCCAGCCCGTGCACCTCACATGCAGCCACCACGCGTCCGTCAGTGGAGGCTTGCGTGTTGATGTGATGATGCTGAAAGGTCCCATCAGTGGGTCACACTAAGATGGACCAGGAGGAAAGTCAGCAGTCAACAGTGACCATCTGGATGTGAGAAGTCACCACACTCAGTGACTTGAAACAACACACACCTGTTCTCTTACAGTCCTGGAGGTCGGAAGCCTGAAATCAAGGTCTTGGCAGGGGTGTAGCCTTCTGGAATCTATGAGAAGACCTGTTTCTTTGACTTCTCTGGCTTCAGGAGGCCACCTGCATTCCTTGGCTGGTGGCCCCTTCCTCACGTCACTGCAGCCTCTGCTTCTGTCCTTGCAGCTCCTTCTGACCCTCCCTGCCCTGACTCCCTCCAGTCCGACCCTGGGATTGCACTGGGCTACCCAGGGTGATCCAGGATCATGCCCCTTCTGAGAACCCTTAGTTTAATTGCACCCTCAATGTCCCTTTGCCACAGGTTCTAGGGCATGTGGACATCTTTAGGGAGCCATTATTCAGCCTGCTACACCCCCCTTCCACCCCACCACCATGTAATCTTCTGTCCCCACCTTTGGTCCCCTTCCTCGCAGCACCGACCCCAGGTTGTAATGCTGCCGTCATTTGTTCTCTGTTTATTATCTGCCCCTGCCAACCATGCCTGGTTTATCCTGAATTTTCCCCACCCTAACAGTAAGGTTGTATTCAATAAATGTTTGTTGAATGAAGATATGGATGGATGGATGGACAGAGGGACAGATAAATGGATGAGTAGATGGATGGGTGAGTGGGTATATGAGCAGATGGATGGATGGGTAGATGAATGGATGGATAGATGGATGGATGGGTGGATAGATGGGTAGATGAGTGGGTGGACAGATGGATGGATGGATGGATGGATGGGTGGATGGGTATATGAGCAGATGGATGGTGGATGGATGGGTAGATGAGTGGATGGATGGATGGGTAGATGAATGGATGGATAGATGGATGGATGGGTGGATAGACGGGTAGATGAGTGGATGGACAGATGGATGGATGGATGGATGGATGGGTGGATGGATAGGTGGGTGGATGGATGGGTGGGTGGATGGATGGGTGGATGGATGGGTAGATGAGCAGATGGATGGTGGATGGATGGGTAGATGAGTGGATGGATGGATGGGTGGGTGGATGGATGGGTATATGAGCAGATGGATGGATGGGTGGATGGATGAGTATATGAGTAGATGGATGGATGGGTAGATGAGTGCATGGACAGATGGATGGATGGGTGGATGGATGGATGGATGGTGGGTGGGTGGGTAGATGAGTGGATGGATGGATTGGTGGGTGGATGGATGGGTATATGAACAGATGGATGGATGGGTAGATGAGTGG